TTGGCTCTCCCAGCTTCAGAAATTTGCTTAATATTCTAAGCATCAGTTTCCTTGCCATTAATTGGTGCTAATAGCAATGATTGTTTGGTATTAGCTGTTATAAAATTGAATAAAATTATGAAAATAGAGCATATAGCTCAATTTTGGACATAGTGAAACACTCAATAATTTTTATCATTTTATTATTAAAGACTGAGCTTATTTATAAGTTTCTGGTGATGGCTTTTTATTATTTTCAAGATGTGGATTAAAATACACCTATAGTCTTTTGCAGAAAAACAATGTTTGGGCTAGCATTCTTTTGTGTTTGGAATGAGCATCTAGAATTCAGAGGGCTACGGCTCTCCTGTGGAGCCCTTGTTTAAGTAGCATTAAAATTGTGCTTCAGAGGTAGAATATGTTGATTCATATTCTACCATATGTGAATCAACCAATGCTCCAAAATTCCATGGCCATAGTGGATAGAAACATCACTACAGCACTGAAATGCAACAATAAGATGGGCAACACAGCCCCATCAACACGGAGTTGGGTGTTGGAGGGTGAGTCTGACAATGAAGTTGAAGAGAAGTAGAAATGATTGTGGAAAAGCATCTGAGTAGCAGGATCAAGTCATACCCCAAAGAAAGTAGGCTTGTCACTTAGGTGAACTGACTTTTTGTTTTTCGTTATACTAGTTTGAGTAGAAATTTGCATGACATAAAAGTTGAAGCTTCTTAACTGACAGCATTTGTGCAGGGTTGTTTGTTTTATACCCAAATGAGAGATCTTATAACCACTCTTAGTAAATTGGTTAAAATAGAAATAAATATAAAATAAAATGATGCTGCAGGACACAGTGGCCCACGTCTGTAATCTTAGCAACTCAGAAGTCTGAGGCAAGGGGATTGTAATTTGGAGGCCAGCCTCAGCAACTATGCAAAACCTTGTCTCAAAACAAAAATAAATAGGTAGGTAGGTAGGTAGATAGATAGATAGATAGATAGATAGATAGACAAATAAATAAATAAGACTAGGATTGTAACTCAGTGGTTTAGCACCCCTGGGGTCAGTCTCCATGCATATAGGTATGTACTTACCTGTGAATGTATCTATTAGCTTGATACTTTGTCATTATTGTCATTATACCACAGAGATGGAGGCTTATTCAGCACAGCCAGTCCAGATCAGCAGGGAGAAAGCAGTCTCTGAAGTTGGGGAGAAGGCTGGAGTGCTTGACTGTAGAGTTCCTGTGTCTGAAAAGATTGCAGTTCTGTTTCTCAGTGTTCTTCTCTTGTGCATTTCACATTCCAAGAGAAAATAGGTGGACAGGTCATCTATAGAACTGAGGGGATCGGGGATAGGGAGGATACCCATGCTTGAGTAAAAGCTCAACTAAGTAGCACTGTGTTTGGATAGGCTTTTTACAAGGTGTTAGCAATCCTTCTGGGAAAGAGGTAATATGTTTATATTTAAATAAATAGGTCTTAACTATTTTTTAAAATTATATGACTCAGGAATTGTTTTGTGGTTTTAACTAAATTCTTAGGGAGATTTCAAAAGCTCAGCACAATTCTTGTAAACACGTATTAAAATATCACTAACTGGACACAGTGGTCTATGCCTATAGTCTCAAGTACTGCTGAGGTTGTGGCACGAAGATCACTTGTACCTAAAAGTTCAAGGTCAACCTGGGCCACATGGTAAGATCTCATATCTGGGAGCAGGGTGTGAACACACACACACTCTCATATACATGTACATACATATACATGCTACTTCTAGGTATAATCACTTTTCATCTTGTTAAAATAAATGGATTTTAAGTGATTTTTTCCTATTATAAATGAAAAACTTTGTAAAGGTTTAGCATACTTTTTAATCTATGGTGATATATTTGTCTATATAGCAGAAATGTACAGAGAGGATATTCTAAATCTGAGTAACGGAATCCCATGGCTCATTTTCACTTTGCAATACCAAAGCTCTAATCACAATTTTTGGATAAAAATAATGGTCTTAATCTAACATCTTTCTCTTAACATAGCCGTTCAACACACACACATCGGGCACATACACATATACACATAATATTTGTATCACTTCTATCAATGATTTTATGATTGTGTATTAACCCCAGTTAAAGAAGCTATTTTGTCCAGTTTTGCTCTGATTAAATATGCTTCACTTAAAAATACTGAACTTTAAATTAAAAAATGTGCTCTAGGACATTGGTAAACTCAGATAATGGTGGCCTCAAAAGTGGTCAGATCAAGAACTATCAGTAAATAGAAAAATGTTCAAAAAGGCTATTGAGAAAGAAATAAATAAATAGAATGACAGAAAACACTTGCATGGACACACCCTACCCAACCCATAATGAACCTGAATGTTAGTAGGTACCCTTAGTAGTGAGTATCTCACAGCTCAGTCTTAAACTTCTCTTTTCCTGTTAGGGCCCAGCCATCTCTTCCATGACAATTGTTCTAACTGGAGAGAAGTGACATCTTATTGTGTGTGTGTGTGTGTGTGTGTGTGTACACACACATATATATGATGATTAATCATGTTGAGTACTTTTCCACATACTTATTGGCCTTCTGTATGTCTTCTTTTGAGAAATGTCTACTGAGTACAGCCTTCATGGAAAATAGTGTAGAGGTTCCTAAAAAGTTGAAAGTTATACAATCTTACAGTCTAGCCTCACCACTGATTATACAAACAAAAGTAGTGAAATCAACATGTTAAGAGATATCTGCACCCCGCTGTTTATTGCATCTATATTTATAATAGCCAAGATTCTGAATCCGTCCTCCATGAATGGATGAGTGGGTAAAGAAAATGTGGTGTGTAAGCACAACAGAATACCATTCAGTCATAAAACGGACAAAGTCCTGTTATCTGCAATAGCATGGATGATCCTGGAAGATTATGTGGTAAATGAAGTCATACACAAAAAGACAAACACCATACAATCTGCCATATATGGAATTAAAAACTTTGGTCTCCTAGAAGTGAAGAGTAGAGTACAAGTTATCAGAGGAGGGCAGGAAGAATAAAAGGGTGGAGAGAAGTTGATCAACAGGTGCAAAGTTATAATTCAAAAGGAGAGAGAACTTTTGGTGTGCTGTTGTACAACAGCATGACCACAGTTAACAACAAAGTATTGCTCATTTAAAATTAACTGAAAGAGAAGATTTTACCACAAAGAAATGATGAATGTATGAGCTGACAGCAATGCTAATTACCTTGATTCAATCATTACACAATATTCACATATCAAAACACTCCATTGTACCCCATAAATACATACAATTATTATGTGTCAATTAAAAACAGAATAGAATTTTAGAAAATGACTTATCTCTTGTTTTGTTCACCACAAACCTTGCAAAAAATGAAAAAAAAATGTGTGATAGCATCTCTAATTAATTAGCTCATATAAATATGTTAATGTCTCAGAATTTTGTTTTTCTCATTTTTCTTATTGAAAACAAAAATGTTTCCTGGGAGTATTTGTTTTCCAAATGAGTACTTCTAGAGACCAAAAACAATATCATAGATTAAACCATGATTCCTAGGACTCTTCAGGCCTCAGAGACGGAGATACTATGAAAGGAGGGAATCTATTATATTTCTCAGACTTCCCCAAATAACTGCCCTTCTGTTCATGGGTGAGACAGGCCCTAACTCAAAGCTACTAGACCTGTTTGATGATGTCACTCACAGCATAAGTTCTTTGTAGTTTTTTTTTTTTCCCAAAGAAGAAAAAGCAATAAAGGGACAACATAGAATGTGAAAAGATGAGTGATATTTCTTTCTCAGGAATTTATGATTCAGATACAGGGTCACTGAGATTTCAAACCTGGCACATTAGTAATAGAACAAGACAAACGAAATACAAAATGGACATGACAAATTTGATTTATTCCAGGCAGAGGTTCACCAACTGAGAGACATCTATTGTTGTATGAAATTATAGATGCTTCCATCACATGCTGAAGAAGATAAACAATCTTTTATTCACTTTGATTTTCCATGTCTAAATTTAAACTGGAAAAAATGCTTCTCATTTACTTGTATATAAAGGCTTAATCCTATGAACAAAATAAAAATAAGTAGCAAAGTAATGGAAGGTTATTTAAATAGTGTTACTACCCCCCGCCACCCCAGTGTCTTTCCAGTAGATATGATTCATTGCTTGGTAGTGAGTCAAGGCACTTGATCATTAGCAGAATGTTTATTTATTTGATCAAACTTTTTTTTTTTTTAAACCCTAAGCCAAGTCCAAGCTATGTAAATTAGGTCAGGATTCTGGGTGGTTCCTGTACATGTTAAATCATTTCTCTCCTTCAGGTGCTTGCCCTTGGAGAAATTTCTGCACCTTCCCCAAGGAAACAGGAAGAGGGCCTTGCTGAAAAGGTTAGTGGATGAATCAGTGGTTAAATTACCTCCAAATATTTAGTGGGTCTCTAAAGTATTAAAGTTCTCTGTGATTGTGTTTGACTGCTATTATCAATTTTTGGTGACTAATTTTCTTCATCAAAGAAATGGAATCTCTGCTGGCCTGTGAAAAATATGCTTAAACTTTCATTGTTGACATTTCCACTGGTGGATTAATCAATGTAATAATTGGGATTATTCTTGGGTTCTGCTGAAGGAAATCAAAGTTTGTAAAATGAGGTTTTCTGAAAAAACTCGAAAACTTTTAAAAGCACTTATTTTAAAAGCTTATTTAGACTGATCTCAACCAATATCCTAAATGCATATATGCATAAATATACATATATATAATACACACATGTGCTTGTATATGTATATATACATATATATGTATTTGTAACAGAGACCAAAATATTTTGGGTTAATATTTATAAGAAGTCATCAACAATAAAAACCTCTCTATATATGTATTAGTCATGAAATACACTTGTCTGTATATTAACCCTTGTAGTACTTGTGTCCGTTTCTGACAAAGTGAGATGGGGTTGGCAAAACATATTGTGTCAGTATGATTCTGGTGGTCAAAATAATAGGAGCCACACCCAAGCAAATTTAAAAGCAGGAAGTAGAATTTATTAGCTGGTACAGTGCAGAAAGAAATTAAACAACCAACACAAGAGGAACTATGGGTCTGGTCTGCTCCTTGGTGCAAGAGACTGATGCAACCAGCAAACCAAGAAGTCATTGATATTCTTTTTACCCCTCTCTTTCACTAAGATCAGCTTCTTCCAGAAGACTATGTTGGAAAACAGTCCATTTTAGTTAGTGTCATAAAACTGCATTTATCACATTAACAGCTTATAAGTTATTAGGGGAGACCCAAAAGATAGATATTCTGTTCTGGCTCTTCCATTTAGATATCTCATTGTGTACATTTAATTAGCAGAACCCAGCTCCCACTTAGAACCCTAACTGAATGTAAGTCTGGGAGAGCTTCAGCAGTGTGCTTTAGCCCGTCATCTTTAGCAGTGCACTCAGATTGAAGGAACTCCACAGGAAGCTGGAAAGTTTAAAGAATACTGAGTTGGTGCACAATACACTTGATGGTCAAGAAGTATGCCTGGAATGTCCTGAGTTTATACTTTAGAGATTGAACCACTGAAAGGAGATTGACTTACCATTCTTGCAAGTTTGAAAATTCCCAAAACAAGTCCTGAGAATGTATCTCTTCTTCATGTAATGCACGCTTTAGACTAATCAACTCTGATCAGTACAAAGGATCACCTTGTATAAAATGTTTATTCTTTTGGGACTGCTGTTAGTGGGACAATACTTGCTGGAAAAAAAAAAGCTACTCAGCAATCCCATGGATGATCATTTTGTGTTTATGTGTGTATGGTAGATATATAGATATAAGCATGCATTTATTACTTACGTTATGTATGGCTACACTTTACACATGGATGTTGAATGACTGTTTAGATGTTCAGTTATCTAAATTCAGATATACTGAAGTGGACAGTAAATGCCAAGCAAGTGATAGTGGCATAGGAATTTGGAGTTGGGAATGAATTTAAAAGCTACAAAAGTATGCTACCTCTTCTGTGACTTAAAGTTCCCCGTTTCTCGGCAAGGATCATATTTTATGTAAAAGTGCAATTTGGATATCATAACTGATTTTTCCTAGAGGTACAGAATAAAGGGAGAGATTTTGGAAAGGTAAACCCCAAATTGGAATTCACTAGCCTTGAATTACAGGAAAACAAATTTAATTGTTCTCTTCTAAGTAAGGTATTTTTTGTGAAAGTACTATTTAATTTTTGAAGGTTGATGGGAGAGGGTAGGTGTCATGAAAGAGAAGTTTAGGAGAGAACAGACACAGGAAGACCAGAAAGGAGAGTAACGCCACTATTCTAGGGAGATAAAGTTATCATTATATTGACATGGTATCAGGAACAATGAGAAAGGTGGGACACATGAAGTATGACTTTGATCCAACATGGCTTTATAGTTATAACACTTCTTATACACCTCACACTGTTTGGAAAATGTATAAAACTGCTTTAGGTTTAGGTAAATGTAAAAATAGTCAAAGGAAGGCTTACGTTAATGCAATAACAAACTTAATTGCTAGATGTACTTAATAAAAAGGGAAGTTTAAATTTGGAAATCCATCCAGAGTTAGATAGTCCTCACTTTCTGAAGCAAAATTATGGAAGTTCCATTACTGAGCAGGCGCTGACACAGCTTCCAATTAGAGAAGGGAGAAAATAGAGTCCCTAGAGTTGATTAGGGAGTTGGTATTCCAAGTCTCCCTTTCTGAGAAAAGCAGGCTGCAAAGACAGGAGGAGCATGCCAATTTCTGACTCAAATTTTTCTACCTGGTGTTAGAAGGACTTGAAAGGCTCACTGTCAGTTTGGGACAATAAGTCTAAGCTAATTAGATAGGAAAAAAAAGTAGATACCTTGTGCTAGCAATCTTGGCCACCACCCTATTATTTGTTTTTTGTTTCTGCAGATCAGTAGACTCATTTCAAGAGAGTTTTGCCCTCATGTAAGTCCTAAACATATTTTCCCTCTACTTGATCTCTGCCACACACCATTCTAATGGTTGTGTGTCTTTTATTAGACAGAGCTTTGTGAGCAAAACCAGTGATGACAAGCAGAGAAATAATTCTGCTTTCTTGCTTGGCTACCTTAGGTTTACTTTGCTGATTACAGGAATTAGAATTCAGGATGATTTTTAACAGTTCTTTTAATTGTGTTTCATCTCTCCATGTTTTAAACTAGAGTGTCAGCCTGAAGTAAGAGTATTTGTAATAGCTGTGTTTCTCTGCGTTCTTAGAAGGATACCCATGAATAATCAATACACAGTAATGAAATGGAACACTTGCTTCGGGGATTTTTTTTGGTTTTTTTTTTTTGGTATTCAAATTTCACTGGGAGCAAAAGCAAAAGACTTGTCCTTTCTGAGCTTTTGCTTGTCCATCCGTAAACAGACACAGCAGTATCTTACCTAGCAACCTTTCCTAGTTCCTAGCCTTTTGCAGTGTGTTGCTCTTTATTCTGTAGCTATGGGTCTGTGTCACTTACTTGACCTTCTCTGGAAGTTGTGCCTTATTCCAAGTTGGGTAATTTCTGGTTTGTAATTTTAAGAACTTAGAATTTAACTCATTGAATGATCCTGAAAACGATATCTGGGAAAGTTATGTGCTTATTTCTTTCTTACTACCATAAGAAAAGGTACCTGCAGCATTTCAGTAAGGAAATAATTCACCTTTATGTGACATCTTAATTAGTACTCTTAAGACAGTCTTTTAATATGAATTTTTTAAAAATGTTTTTTAGTTGTAGTTGGACACAATACCTTTATAGTATTTATTTTTATGTGGTGCCGAGTATGGAACCCAGTGCCTCACACATGCCAGGCAGGTACTCTACCACTGAGCCACAAACCCAGCCCTCAGCTTTTGATTTCCTACTTGAACACCTTCATCAATAGTAAATAGCCCTGTAGTCTAAACATTTTTTTCATCTTTTCTCAAAAACAAAAATGAAAAATAAAACCGGTATAATCATGGACTTCAATATTAAATGTAATTTAACAATAAAGAGGATAATTCTAATTTCTTTTCTTGTTTGACACATTTCACAGTATAAATTGGAAGAGGCTTAAAGCCTCTAGTTCAATTGGCCTTGCTTATTCTCAGTGCGACCTTGAAATAAATTTATTGTTTTTCATTTATATCTAAGGTCAGATGAAAGATAAGTTAGGATCTATTACACTGGCTGTAACAACCAATAAAATATTTCACCACAGTTTGGGGAATACCTACAACCTAATCAAAAATGGTGTGAGAAACAGTCAGCTTCCTAGGTCACTATTCTGCACTACATGTATACTCTTTATAAGAAAATAGCTTATATTATTATCTGCCAGCTAAGGTTCATATGATAGAAAAGAACAGAATGATAGAACAGTTTGGAAATTCTACTATCTGGACTGTCTGGTAGGTTAGAATATAGCAGCATTTTTATGAATCATACTTACGAAATAAATTTATGTTAAAGGTAAAAATGCTTTCACTAATAAAAGTCAGGTATACTTTTATTTTTCATCTATGTCACTTATACAAATATGTTTGGGATCATATTGTTTAAAATAAACAAGGTAGAGTCAATGGCTGATTGCTCCCTCCTAATACTATATTGATATTACTCTGTAGCATATTGACCATTTAATGAATATAATTGATTACCTTCGAGAAAATTTTAACCTTCAAAATCATATTTTCAACATAAAATTTACCTGCAATAAGTTTACCAGTTTGAATTGTACAATGTGCTATGTTTTAACAAACGTATGACATAGTGTTGTAATTCCCACCAACAGCATGATATAGAATATTTTCATTGCCCCAAGATGTTCCCATGTGCTCTTTTATCATGTCAAAAGATAAAATTATGATACATTTAGTTATGCACTTAATTGGATTTTATTTTTGATTCATAAATTGGGGCAGCCTCCATACATCAAAACAGAATGAGCTCTCCCACTGCTCTATGGCAGAACAGTGGGTTTTGTAAGGTGAGAACAAGGAAAATAAAATGATAGGGGAAAAAAGCTATTTAATTAATGCCAGATTACTTCAGGCTCCTTTTATTTTTTAACATTTTTTGCAAGGTTTTAAAATAGAGGGTTCTTTCTTATTATGAGGACACAAGTAGACTAGAATCTCTTGTTGTCAGGAAAAAACAAAAATACCTTGGTGTGCCTCGTGATGTTTCTACTTCCTTGACGTTTAAGTGTGATTATGCAGCAGTCAGTATAAGTGACTCCATTTTGGTTTGGTCCTATCTGTTGGGAGTCTAGTTTATAAACTGTTCAAAACAATGACCTCCCCAAAGTTTTCTGTAATGACAATCATTATTTTCCTTCCTTCCCCTTGGCTATCACCTACTTTCAAGAGTCTTACATT